TGAGCGGTGGATCCCGACCAGGTCGGAGGTACCTGTCTCTCTAAGAGGAGCTTGCTAAGAGGTGCTTGGCACCCTGCCTGGGCTGGCAGCTAGCGCCTGTGAAGGACAGTTGGCAGAAGGAGCTGATAAGGTTCATGTCCTGGCCAACCTCTTGCTCCCAGCCCCAATGAGACCCTCTGCCAAGCACATAATGGCAGCTGTCTCACCAATGCCCAGCCTGGAGGGCCGCTCGGCTCTTTGGTCCCGGGTGTGCTCAAGAGCCCCCACTGCCACCAGAGGCAGGTCCTGCTGCCTGAGGACATGGGGTGATTAATGTGTCTGGTTTCCCAGGATCAGGAGTTGCAGGACAGCTGCGCCCAGAGTGGAGATGGACCATGGGGAGAGCCCTGGCTGTGGAACTGGGAGCACTGGGAAACCCTCAGGAGTCGCCCAGGTAAGTGAGCGAGCTGAGGCTGACACAGATGGCCTTACTCCTGGTTTTTGTCTTGGCTTTGCTAAGCACATCTCCCGGTCTCCCAGGAAGGCTGATCGTTGCCTTCCTGGCTGGGGGCACTGACATAAACTGAAAGAGGAACTGCTTGTTTCCTTCTTGCCCTGAGGGATCCCATGTTCAGAGACAGACCAGAGGTAGGTTTTCTCTCTCTTTGGTTAGCCCAAGGCCACTGGCAGGAATCCCAGCTTCCAGCCATCCAAACCCCACCTTGCCTTAGGCAGGACCCTCCCTGCTCCCGCCTGCCTGCCCTCTGTGGTGACCGGCCCTGGGAGGGGACACCGCCTGGCCCTGCAAATGGCTCTGGGTGGAGGCAGGAGGCGAGACCTGCCCTGCTGCCCTGTGTGCTCGCTGTGCCCCTAGACAAACAGCGAGTCTCTCCCTGTCGTCACTGCAACGACATTAGCACCGTAGCAGGAAAGGGCTGGAAAATGCCACTGCAGGCGCAGCCGGCAAGGGGAAATGTGAGAGTTAGAAACCACTCACCAAACAATGCTCAGGAGACGCGTCAGGCTGGAGATTTCAGTCTCCTTGGCTGGACACACCTCGCTGCAGGCACTTCCCAAGGCTTAGATAACACATCCTCTTGCTTAAGGTTGCATCCTTCCCACCCAGTGCTGAACCCACCCTCTCTTGGGGAGATCCTGCCTTGTTCTGAGCAGTGGTGTAATGCCTCAACTGTAAGCTTAGGGGTTTGCTTAGGGCTGTGCTGCTGCTGAAGCGAGTGCAAACCTGTGAAGAGAGGATGAGGAGGGCACTGGCTGCTAGGTAACTATCAAAGCATCCCCGTTCCTCCCATCCCACCACCAGAGGGGAAAGGATTACCAAAAACCAAAACCAAAGGAAAGTCCCTGCAACCCAAGGCAGGTGTTCAGACCAGCGGAGTGCAGAGCCAGACCTGAGCCTCTGGCGAAGGCTGTGTGCAGCCACTTGCACTGCCCTTCCCAGTATAACCTGCAGTTGGGGTGGCTGCTGTGCATGGGAACAGGCAGTTTTTAGCCAAGGGACGAGGCCAGGGCTTTGCAATAGAGACTGAGCAGCAAAATACCTGCACAACACAAGCGCAGAGGGTCTGCCAGGCCTGAAACCAAGGGTCAAGAGCAGTGAGGACAGCAGAGGAGCAAAGCCATACACAGAGAGGGCTGTGCTGCAGGCTGGCCACAGCCCCTTGCAAAGAAAGTGCCTCTTCCTAGCAGCATTGTGACCAAAAGGCTGAGGCGGGGGACAGGAGGGAAAGGATAGATCCCATGGGAGTGCAGAAACCACAGCTGAGGTACGGACTGCCCACTCGGTTCCTCACAGCTTTATCAGCCCTCAACTGCTGCAATACAACAGCCATCGCTTCTGGGTCTGTTGGGGCCAGATGAACACCAGCCAAGCTTCCCAGGAAGTGTCCCAGCCATTCCGAGGAGCTGGGAGCATCTTTAACCTCATTGTGCTGGGCAGCACTCGCCCTCCAGAGCCTCCCAGGAGAAGAAGCAGCAGGAGCAGCGCAGCTACAGTGGAGTATCAGCAACGCTGCATATAAAAACCCTTGAGTGAGGCCAGTGCCTGGTACTGACAAACCCAATGCTGTCCTCTGCCTGGGTCCAGCCTCTGCTGCCTGCCCTGAACTTAAACTTGTCTCCTCTGTCGCGTACCTAATTACCAGGGCTCCTGCCTGCTCCTGCAGCACGGACATGAAAGGAGACCCCCCCCATCCCCATCAGACGGGAGTGACTGGACAAGTTACAACACGAATCCCATCAGTCTTGGATACTTCCCCTGTCATTGGGGGCTGTTTCCTCTTCTGCTAGGCAATGAGCTCATGAGCTTTCTCCCCACCTCCCTGTCCCTTCTGCTGCTGCTTTTCCATTTCTCACTGCTTTCTCCTTCTGTTACTCAGAGTGTTTGGCGAGGCCCTGGTGTTTGCTGCCTCTTCAGCTAGCATTATCCTCCCACCTATGAACCTGCACCCCGGAGCACTCCTGCCCTTAGTTCAATGCGTGGGGAAGGAGAGCAGAGATGCTTTCTCCTGCAGTTCTCATGTAGGGCAGTCTTGTCGCCCCGTTTCTGTCCACTGTTGTGCCTCTCAGGGGCTCTGCACTCCCTTAACAGGCTGCAGCAATGTTCCTGCCTGAGATCAGCACCGTTGTCCTGATGCACAGGGTACCATGGCCGGCTTTTTTGGTGAGCCTGCCTCTCTGCCCAGCATGGATTTGCAGGGGTTGGATTTGAAAGTGCAGCTACAGCTGATGGTTAGTGGTAAAACTGGAGCCAGCTCCACTCCAGTCAGGTTGTGTCCCGGACGCAGACTGGCCTCAGAAGGTGCTAATGCCGCAGCTGAAATTTCATGGCAGAAACAGATTGTGTTTGTGGTCTGGTCAGACCCTGAGCTAAGCACGCTCCTGGTCGAGGCACTCTCAGTGGAAACAATGGAAACTCGGTGGAAAAAATGGCTAGGCAAAGCCACCAGATTTATTGATCCTACCTCCCTGAGAACAAGCAGAGTCTCCCAACCCCTCTAAGAATTCTTTGCTTACACAAAATACTTCTGCTACAGGACTGGCTCTTTCATGCTAGGCTGCAGCCTGGCCCCGCTGCAGACAAAGCCGGGGGAACGCAAGGGCTGAGGCCAAACTTTGGCCAAATGAGGCCAAACGGGAGGTGCCGCAGTGCCTGGCCATGCATACACAGCACGCTTCCCAAACTCCATGGCACCATCAAGCACTACCTCCTGGGGCCTGACAGTTTGTTTCCGGATTATTTGGTGGTAGTTGTTGTTGGCAACAAAAAAAGGAAAATGTTTATTTTTCCTAAGCAACGTGGAACATGAAACATTATGGACTGCA